ACACACACACACATACATATATACACACACAGCGGGGTGGTCGCAATATGCTTTTTCGCATTTGCATATATGCAAAAACGCATAAGAAAGCAAAGAAAAGCAAAAGCAAATAAAAGCTGAGATTATGCGAGTGGAAATTGTTTTACAAGAACTCGTCTTCAACAGGGGATTTCCCTGTTCATGAAAATGATGCTTACATGAAGCTGAGAGAAAATATGTTCGATTAGGTCTGCTCGAAAATTCCATATTGTAATTCCAATGTATTTGCTTTCTCCAGCCTGCGACTGCGCATAGCACTTACTCTATTTTTCCCTCCAAAATCTCACAGAAGCAAAGGCTAATTCTATCCGACTTATTCCGCCTACCCCTCTTTTTCTCATTTCATATGCTACAGTGGAACTTATACATTCTCAGCTTTATCTAAGTAACAGCTTCATAAGGAAGTCCCCTACTGAAGACGGGTTTTTACAGGACAATTTAAACTCACATAGGCTCAGTTTTTGCTTTTTCTTTTATTCATAGATTCAGATTTTTTTGACTTTGCTTTTATTCGTATGCTCAGATTTGCTTTATTTACTTTTTTTTTGCAGTGCTGTTATAATTTTTCTTTTTATACGTTCTGTACTAACGTAATAGCAGTACAAAACGTATATTGGCACGGGGTTGTCTGGGGGTATGCATGTGTAGCTTGTGTGTGCCTGTTTATGTGTGTGTATCCGCGACAACTTGTCCGCAACTTTCAATTCTGGAATCAAAAAAGCTAGAAAGCTGGAAATTTAGGGGAATGTTACCCACCCACGTGTGATCCCGCAAATTTAAATTCAGCCTTCCTGTGCCGGCGTGTAACATGCACGGCTCCGTAAAAGTTTTGACGGGGAAAATTATTATCTCGACAACCCTGGGAGCTAGAAAGCTGAAATTTTATAGGTATGTTCCCTGCCACCTACGACCTTTCAAATTTAGCCTTCTCGTGCCTGCGCGTATCATGTGCAGTCCCGTGAAACTTTGGGGGACGAGGGAAGGGAAGGGAAAGGAAATGGCTAGCTCAGGAACTTGAAAAGCTGGAAGGCTGAAATTTTCAGGTAATGTTTTCAGCGCATGTGCGAATTAAAATTATCAAATTCAGCCCTTCAGTATGCGTGGTTCACACGTACGGCCCGTGGAATTTTTTGGCGAGAAAGTGCCTAACTCGGGAATCGGGAAAGTTGGGAAACTAAAATTTTAAAGGGATTTTCACAACCCATGTACAGCTCAAAGATATCCAATTCAGATCTGTGCGCGTCGCTAATAATTTTTTATAGGATTTCCATAAGAAGCTAAACTTCCGCTTTTATGCACAAATTCAACAAAAGAAATATGTAAATTGCGAATGAGCTATAAATGTCGCAAAATATCCACGGAACATCATTTACAGATTTTCTTTACAGCATTCTTGTAGAGCCAGGCTCCTTGCTACCTTCCTGGCATTTTCGCTGTCGAAGTGGTCACGCAAGCGAGGAGCTGATTTGAGCTGTACGTTCAGTGGTTAGCCTGCATAGATCTCGAGGTTGTCCAGACAGCGGGCACTTTGATTGTGGATCAGCGAGATTACATCACGTGGTTCTTTAAGGATCAGTTCCTTTAAAGGTTCAGGATAAGGCCTCTGGTCCGTCCGTCAACCCACCATGGGAAATTACTCTTACACTTCAGCGGCTTTTTGAATAACTGATGGGCTTAATTAAGTTTACCTAGATGTTAGTGAAATATCCTATTGTGCGCCAAATTTCGGCACACAGGCAATGTGATATTCATATACACTGCAGACAGAAGACAAGCGAGGAAATGAACAGTCCTGTGGGAGAATGTGCAACGAGAGGTCAACTTCCGCTGGAAACTTCAATTTTCACAATAGCCACCGCATCGCCGTCGACAAGCGAAATTACTTCCTCAACACCCGTTTCGAGCACATCAACAAATGCGTCTGCCGAAACATCAGCGCTGACGGGAGTGTCGGTGCTATCACTGTCATCCAGCGTCCTATCAGCTACGTATGTAGAACCGGCATCCATAGCAGAGCACGATCCAGCACTCGAAGAGAACCAGCAACGTGTCCGATTATGCACGCAAAAAACTGATTATCATGCGACTGTCGTACTTGATGGGAACACTGCGGTCTGATTTTTCACCAGTCTGTAGTGCTAAGCTTGTAACCTCAGCTTTCTTTTTTATCTCTGCACTCGAATGCTCGACGAATAACATTTGTACCAACCACAGCCAGGACTTTTGGTAATCTCCAAAGTGAGCTGGAACGCCTGGTCGCTGCCCGAAGCAGTATTAATTTTCCACTGAAATAACTGTGAATGAATCAAGTAATCAAAAGTGTCGAGTCAAAAATTAAAAATTTCTCACAGAGTTGCTTCTGCAGCGGGTTGCATTCATTCGTGAAAATCTTGGGCTCATACAATGCCGTAACCGATTATAATCTAAAGTAGTGCAAGAAAACAAACTAGTTGGGTAGTGTTAGTGTGATACAAAGTGCAGAATGCACTGGAGTGTGAGAAAAATTATCAGACATTATGGTAAGTGCCGAAGTTCCAAATTCTCTCCGTATTCACCATACAAATGGTGAGTGCATTCGAAAGTAGCCTGACTGGGCACATGTTGATACCTTGATGACACTGCCGACCACTTCCCTTTTCGAATACTGCTTGAATTGAGCTGGTGGCGGGTTTGACTCTCTGATACCTGCCAGCATGTGCGTATTATCGAAATGAACGAACGAATCGTAGGGAGACTGATTATCTCACTAGCGGAGTTGGATCTTCGACCTTCGACATGAGACTAGTGCTGCTTGCTACTGTGCCAGTACCTACCGGCAATATGCA